CAGCACTCTTCTGTCTGCCAGAAAACGTTCCTGTATTTTTCTCTTTTGCGTAATCCAACAGTACTCAAACTTTCAACTCATCTTACAGTATTTGCGAATATAACGGAAATTACTTACATAACGCTTACTTGGCAAACAAATATTCTAAGCGTTATTGTCTCAATCGAACAGTATTTATGAAAATGTGATGTTAAGAATATCAATCAACACGTAACTATGAGCCTCAGTAACCATTAAAGCTTTCTATAATATTCACGTTCTTGAACTTTTTATGCATAAGTACGATACGTGAACCCGAGAAAGCTACCGGCTGTTATCAATAATATTTTATAACTAGCACCTCACAAAAATCAAACGGAAGCGAAATCTACACTCTTTTAAAAAATTTAAGCTATTTATAATCTGATTGAAAATACTAAAGAATTTGCACTGAAACTTAAATTGTATTGTTAAAAAAATTGATATGATATATATAATGTGATTTCTGACTTCTCTACTAATCGTAAATTGAGCATTTGAGCTATCTGCCCAATACATAAATTCATAGTGCTGATTCTCCAGTGTCGACAAAATAACCTGAGTCCTTAAGTAATCACGAGATACGAGTACATCAAAGAAACCTTGAAAGCTACTTTTTCGCGCGGTTGTTTTTGAGAAATTCGCGCTCGGGCGGTCAGAAGTCTCGGCTGAAAATTTATAACCCCGATCTCGCACTCAGGATGTCTGCTTTTTGCCGAGTCTAGTTTGGCCGCGCGCGCTTCCCATACGGCCGAGCATTCATCAGCGAAAATCCACGCGCGGCATCGCAGCCAGTTTATTGACGCGGTTGGGTCGGGAAGCCGTGAAAACTTTATTAATTCAGAGGCAGCCCTAAGGGTGTGGAGCATTTCAATCCCTTATCGCGATATAGTGGCCGCACGTAAACCGGACGTAAACGCATTGCGCGATATATTTCTTCTGGCGAGCGCGGGGCGAGAGCTTTACTGCGCTGCATTATTTTGCTCTTTATCCGACTGCCGCCGCCGGCGAGTGAGAGACGAATATCTGTTTGGCTGTTGAAATTGAGCTCTAAAGCCAGCCAGAGGGCGAGAAACGTACACACTCGCGCGCGCCCGCGCTATGATTTTCGGTTCACTGGGAAAAGCCATTCAGCAACTCTCTCGCTCCCCAGCGATCCCTCACTCTCACGCGCACTTAATGCCATTGGAAAGTTTGCCTCGAATATTCATTAAAAATATAGAAAAGCGAAGAGATGAGATTATGGAGCGCACGCGAGCTCCCTCTGTATTATATACGTGTGCGCACCACGACGTACTATCGTAGTTAACTTTTGATGCATGGACGCTTTCGGGGGCGGCATGCGACGACATTCTCATATTTACCGCATATTTCACGCTTTTTCTTTTGCGAGCCTCTAAATATGCGCTACCAGATAGAAATATAAAAAACCCTCTTTTTCTCTCATCTTTTATTTATTTTTTTATTCTCACAAAGCCGTAAACAAAGAGTGCAATATTACCGTTGGCGCAGAGATGCATATTGATGCTCGAGACGATCAAGTTATCAATCCCAAGACAAGCTTGCTTGCGCGCACACTCGAAACAAATATTGATGCCCATGCAATTACTCGTGATATGTGAATCAAATGCATGTCGATATTCCACTTTCTACTCTGGTATTTCCGAACTTACGTACGTCTGACTACCAAATGCCCGGTAGCGATATTGAAATTCCCAAGTACGCGTGCATTCGTGAAATAAAGGCGAGTAAACGACGAGTTAAAAAGTGGAGTGAGAGAGAGAGAGAGAGAGAGAGGAGGGAAAAGACAGAAGTTGTAGCATGCGCGACGCGCCGTCCACTTGTACATGCGAGTCATCTCCTCCGCTCCTCACTCGACAGAAAGAGAGAGAAAGCTCGCGAACTATACGCGCGCACCTTTCTCATTCCTCGTAAACAGAAAGGCAAAGAAGAAAGACCGTGGAGTCACGTAGCTGTATAGTCGGGATGTGCGAGCGCGGTCGCAGCCGCCAATATGCTTCTGCGCGCTGTCACGCTTTCTAATCCCCTTCCTATATATATATATACCAGCTGCTACTACATATTTATGCCGCGGTCACCTCTACGCTATTGCCTTGGAGCGCGACTCTTCTCTTTTCCTTTTGCTGCGTATCGCTTCTTTCTTTACACGCGGGCGTAGTGCGTTCACTCTTTTCTGTTCAGCCCCTATTCGCTTTCTGCGTGGGAAGAAGAGCTTTGTCGGTCATGATTTTTCTAGGTCTGTGATTTTTACCAACAACAAAGTTTTTTGTTTGAAGGGTAATTTCAATTTAGCTATGAAAAATTTCACGTCCAAATGGCATCACAAATATTTTTATTAAATTGATCGTTTTCAATATAGTATGCGCTTTATTAAACCCTCGAATCTCTTCTACTTGTGCCAATTCTTATTTCTTATGATTTTGTTTTCCTTTTCCAATACCGGATTATTTCAATGCAGTCTTCTTCATCTTATTATGCTTCCCGATATTTTGTTTGCAAGTAATATATATTTTCAGCTTTGCGCACATAAATCCAATAATCAATAAATGACAATATCTTTTCATACTCGACAGATCAAAGGCACGTGTCAATAATAATAAAGATTTTTTATATTCATTAAGCTCTACTTACTGAGATGAATATTAAATCTCTGTGAAACCCTTTTGCTTTTTCATTGTGATCGACCTCCTACTCATTTTTAAAGCCATGATGATGGCTACAGCAGAGCTCAGAAAAGATGACTTTTCATTTACTTCTCAATCCATGCCCTTTTAAAACTAGCTAAGAAATACCGCTCAGTTCGCTGCTGGTAGCGCGAAATTCGCGCAAAAGTTTTTCGGTTTTGCGGAGACGGAAGCCGTTGTCTGAGACCGAAAAGATGTCACAGCGAGACGAGCGACCGCGCGACGCTTCTCTCTTGTTCTTCCTCGAGGCGCAAACCCAGAAAAAGAACACAAAATAAGACAGAAGAAGGAGAAGAGGAAGAAGAAGAGGAAGTGGAAAAAAGCGCGACAAAGAGAATGGCAAGCGAACAAAAGGGTCAAAATAGAGCCATAGCGTGGCAGTCGAAGAAAGGCGCAAAATGAGGCGACGACCGAAGAAGAGAAACTTAAAGCTTGATTGGAGGAGTTTATTTTAGAATGCCTCGATTGTTTCCCCTGGAGTCTCTCGTTCGCGCTCTCTGCAGTAGGAAGACGCGAACGAGCGAGGCTACATCTGAATTTTAAACTAATCTTTTCGCGTTGATAAAACTTGGTCGAGTTGAACCAGCGCATCCATCCCTTCCAGAAAGGGGTAACAATTAAGAAAACTTTGTCGCGCTTTCCGATAAAAGAAGAGTTCAATCAAGTCTTTTCCATTCACAGCAAAAAGTTTGAAGTAGAAAATATTGCAGCACACGCACATATACTCAGACATTCAAATATCTCAATTTTATTACGATGTTGATGAGTTAAGACTTTTCTCGATTAAAAGCACCAAGAAAAGTCGGCAATATAGAAGTCCCCAAAAAAAGACCGTAAATGCACTGACCTCCTTCATGTCATACACACGAGTTTTCAACGGGGCGAAGAATAGAAACGGAGAGAGAGAGAGAGAGAGAGAGAGAGAGAGAGAGAGAGAGAGAGAGAGAGTAAAGGAGAGCGGGAGGGAGGGAGTGAAGCACCGGCAGAAGTGAAAAAAAGAATAAACGAAAGATTAAAAAGCGAGTCGGGACCTCGTGAATTTTCTTGCCGTGAGCGCAAAACAAAGCGCCATTCTGGCCTCCCTCCCAACCTTTTGTGTGATTTTTCCAGCCCGAAAAAAAAGAGGTGCAACTGGAAGGGTATGTCATTTAGACGCCACCTACGGAAAAAAATATTAACCGTTGCGCGCGCTTACGATAACACAAAAATATTATTCAAATATCGTGCGCTGCGCGCAATATTTTGCATGCTGTGTCTGCACAAAAGCCATCGACAATGCCGCTTTTTTCGAGGTGCATGATGATGGATATGGATGAGATCTACTTACTTATATGTATAAATAATGGTGATGCAATAGTTTGCGTAGAATATCACATCTACTTTTCGTTTGCGTGGTTCTCCAATTTCACACTTGAGTGTTGGGTATATATGTATATAAGCGTATCTTTTGAGCGATACGTGAGTCATAGTAAACAACGCGCACAAGGTGAAACGAAAGAATCATTGACGTTTAAATGTTTGCCTCCTTCTTCCCGCGATGGCGCTTGTGCAATACCTCGTGCGGTTAGGTCCATTGTCGAGATAAATCGTGTTGATTGATCCCTCGGTGTAGCTCAGTCGCTTTGTTTATATTTAACTAGCGAAAATCTGGCTCTCACCATGATTTACATAATTCTTATTGAATTGGTTTTCGTTGGATACGCATTAAATCGATTGTATGTTTATTGGGGGAATTTATACGATTACGTTTCCAATTAAATTCGATAATACAATTTTCTTTATTTATATCAATAATACTGATAAATCAAGTTATATCAATACAAAATATAATTATTGTTGATTAATTATGAATTCTATTGATTAGTCGAATGAGAAAGAATGTTTCACGTAAATAATTAAACATTCATCATGAGAATTTTAGTTTCTATTCCAAAGCACTGAACGTCCTTTTTTCCAGGAATTAATGTATTTCTTTCTCTAGGGAGATGTAAATTACACGTTGGAAATTAATCAAAAAGCGTACATGTAAATAGAATTATTCAAAAATACGAAAGAGAAAACGTTTAGTCGCTGAGTATCCGAGCGAGTCACATAAGAGTTGTCGTAGAACTTTTACAAAAAATAAAAAATTCAAACGACTTGCAAGCTCCGGTGCAAACGCTCTCTCTATCTCGCTTGTCGAGTTCTCCCGCTCTCGAGCCTTCGACCCCGGAAAATTTTTCGCGTGTAGTTTTGCCTCTCTTTTAAAGCTCCCTTTTCTTTTATCCTTTGTTCCAGTTCCGCCGTTAAAGCCGATAATCTATGACACCAAGAAGCGGGACATGAGCAAGCACGTGGAGGCTTATCCGGAAGGCGCCGATCTCGATCTTATCTGTGAGGTCCATGGTGGTGAGTGTGTTCTTCCATTCTTACGTAGATACAAAAGAGACATTATCGCTAGCATGCAAGTGTATATACATATCTATTAACCAGCGTGCCAAGAGATGGCATTTAGGCTATACTGCAGCTGCAACGGAAGCTTCTTAGCTCTCGCAATTCCCACGCGTACGAGTGCATTTCCTGCACTCGTACCTCTATCCCTTCCCCTCTTTTCTTTCGTATTATTCGTAGGTGTACGTGTATATCTGTGTGTGTAGCGAAGAAAAACTTTCGACTGCGTCAAGCTGGCGTAAGTCCAGGACCCCTGCACAACGGCAGCAGCAGCGAACGCGAAAAAGTTAGGTGGCGAACTCGTACACACGCCCAAGCCGCGCGAAGGCTTTTAAATGGAATTGGCTCTGAGCCAGTCGCACGCGGTTCAAGGAAATGGGATTTTTCATTCAAAAACGCCACGTCGCGTTGTATGCCCGCGTGCAGGCTCGTGTTGCATATACACACCACGGCAAGGATCTACTTGGACTTTATCAAAGCGATGCTAATTCTTCTGGATACTACAAGCGCTAGCCTTGTTTATATTTCATTTCCCGGGCAAAATCTACCTGGCGGCTATCTCCTTTCTTACTTTTTCTAGACGAAGTCTATAAATTTTTTAAGAGGAACCAACGACTGGGAGAGAGATAGTTCGAAGAGGAGCTCGTGAAAACCGTAGTCGACTAAAAGAACATTTGTAGTAGTATATACTTTGACTACAGTGGCTTTTTAGCTTGTCTCAAGCCTTGAAGCTACAGAAAAAGAAGAAAGAGAGAAAGTCGGCAACGAATTACTGCTGAAAAACTCGCATTTCAAAGGGAACAAATTATTCTTGTCAGAGTATTTCTTTACAAGGCGCGCGCGCACACAATTGATTTTTGTTATTATTGCCGCCTTTTTCCTCAAAACTCCTTTTCGTAAACTTATCTCCTTGACTGCGTTTTCCATTTTTCTGTCATACTTTTCACAGGCTGTATACAATTTTAGGTCGTACGATGAAAAATATGTGATGTCTGACTATGCGTTCATTCGTACTACTTGGAATACTTTATACGTGTATCGTTATTTCCGAATTGAATTTTCGTACTAATCCGATTTTATTTCAACATTAATATACGAGGGAATCAACAAATCCAGATATATTTCACATGTGATTTGTTATTTCAAATTCGTTGTACGAGCGAACGAGCAATATTACACAAATGAAATAACATTTTGCAAAATTTATGTCCTCTTCCACAAACATACAATCGGGTGCGAAAAGCAATAAAGTCGTAGAATTTATCACCATACACAAAACTGCTTATCCATGCAGTTTAATTAATTTACAAAAAAGAAAAATTCCAAAACTTTTTAAAGACAAACGACCGCATTAGATCAAGCATTCTCTAAATAATGAGGTAGTCGCAAAGAAAAGTGTCGCATTGTAACGATATGTATCACAAGCGCATAATTGATTTAGCGTAGCAATAAGCAGTACCCAACGCCCGGAAAATTTCGCTGACGAGCACAATAACGGCAGCAATATCGCTCTTGTCTGGAACCCACCCACTTTCTCTCTTTCTTACACTCTCTCTCTCTCCCTCTCTCTCTCTCTCTCTCTGCCTGTATTTTCTCGCATGTGCGGGCTCATAAAAAATCAATTTAGCAAAAGTAATGGGCTCGCGCTGGAGTGTCTCTCGGGCTGGCAGCATCGCGCGGTCGATCCCCACGAGAAACGTAATCCCAGGGCAAACGAGCAGCCGCTCGCTCGCTCGCGCGAATTAATTTAGACGGCTCAGCGTTCACCTGCAAACGACAGTTGACATGTAGAGCATTCTCCATCACCCTCTGTCTCACCTACCAGTTGCATTGTACGTCAGCGCGAGAACCAAGCCTTCCTATACGATAGCTCGCGAGAAATATAATCGCGAACTGCATGACTGATCAAAAGACACGTCATAGGCCAAGCCGACGATAACAAAGCCGTACTGTACAATTATTCGAACTAATAAGAGAGACTAGGAGACGAACTAGTCTTTTGCATGTACATCCATATTACATATGCACATGCGACAGAGCGGTCAAAGTCTGCTATTACGCTTAATTAGCTATATCGCACACTGCTTAGCTGTTGCTGCCTTGAGTGGAAGATTCCAGTTCTTTTTCAAGCCAAGAAAGAACGAAGTAATCGCGGCTGATTAATTGGCAGTTAGAAGTAGGACCATCGATTAATTTGTTGACTAGCTAACTTGGAAGCTCTTTTTCCTTTTGCTTTATTCTCGCAGAAGGGTGCAAGGAAAAAACTAGCTTGTAGAAAAGTTAAGTCGAATAGGTGAGAGCAATTCATTCTTACTTAGATCTGGCGCTTCAAGTAGGACCATGAAATTTAAAGCAGCTGAAAATCTACAATGCTGATGCTCGACATAATACTTTCCGAAAGAGTTACCGAGTTCTGTCCGTGGTGCGCGAGAGCAAAAAATAAGAGAGAAAGGTAGAGAGTGGGAGAGAGATTCTTCATCCCGCGGTCACGAAGAAAGCCGAGAACGGTAAACTCGCTAACTTTTCATCAGTCTCATTTACGTAATCAAGCTCTAATTAGCGCACTTCAAATGGCATTTTAAATAAAAGCTACGATTTCCTTTTTTCTTTATTTCAGGTAAACCGAGGCCAAGGGTGTCGTGGTATTTGGAGTCACAATTGATTGCTAATACAACGTACGAGGTGAAAGAGACACAGCATCCGAGGACTGTTGATGTTCTGAATGTTGCTATTTCGAAAGAGCCATATACAATAGTTATTAGTAGGGTGAAGATAAAGAATTTGAGGCGGAGTCATTATCATGCCAAACTATCATGCAGGGCAAACAATACACACTTGGCTGCACCGCAAACGACGACTATTGTTATCGAGATAAATTGTAAGTTGTCATTTTTACATTAATAATGGATTAAAAGATGGTACACGTCAGAACTTATAGTTTACATGAAATTATTTTATTAGATTAAATAAGAATTTTGCTTTTTAATTTAACATGTCGCGATACTGTTAGTTTAGAAGCATCGCTATTCAAAAATCAATTTATACATATTGTAGAAATTGCATTCAAAAATTTAAATCCTAAAAATACTGTTCGAAAATTGCATCCGTAGACTATAAATTTTTGTACCAAACGATGTGTGTTAATAAAATCAATGAACTTGAAACCTCGTTCGTCTCCCTTTTATAGATAGTTTACAAGACAGGAATAATAACGAAAAAGAAATCGATATGATCAATACGTGAAATCCGTGAAGTAAAATATCAATCATTAGTGAGCATCAACATATCGGCAAAAATTGAAAAAAATGAAATTATCTCGATTGATTAAATATATCAATTTTCCGAAAGAAGGTAGCAAGTAAGCCACGTGGCAATAAATACCAAGCGTACTTTTTATTTCAGTCGACGTGTAAACCACAAACTTAATCGGCAAGCCAATCCGACCGCTTTCGGGACGTATACATTCACGAGAGGCGCCCGCAAATGCTGAAAAAAAATATATATATGTATATATTCCATGAACAAGTGAGAGCGTGAAACAAAGAGATGTAAAGAACAAGCGCTTGCTGGAAACCAGCGGAGGCTGATATTTAGATTGTTCGCCGTACACGCGGAATTGAAACATTTTTTAGCGTTTAAACGCGGAAAACCCGACGTATACGAGTAGGTCCAACTGGCCAATCTTATAATTCGAGAGCTGCCAAATTGGCCATCGATCGCGAGTAAAGCTGCCTAGCGTTAACATAATAAAAAATTAAGTTTTATTACACAATCACGATGATATTTACTGTTCTAATTTGTGATCTTCTTCGGAATGAACATGAATTTTTTATTGAGGAACTGGATGTCCGCGTCTAGAATAACAAAGGAGTGATTTGAATTCAAGCCTGTGACAGTCAAATATAGCTTTAAGAAATTTATCAGTTTTATCTATAGTTAAAATTTTCTTAAGAAGTAGCACAGATCACGAGATGAATCGATATAATGTATATAATCGACTATAAATATATATTGCTCGCGTGCATTCCGCTTCTTTGCAAAAAACACATTCACTTAACAAATTCATCCCTTCTAAAATAACTTTCTGAGCAATTTATGCTCTATCCTTATTTATTTTAAATCTTATTGAACGCAAACATTTCTCATTAGTGCGAACAAATTTTTACAACGCAAAGAACGTCCTATGTCAACAGCATCAGCCCTGCTAAAGTTTAGGCCGGTCGTAACTCATTACTGTCTGACAATTACTCAAAACCCGTGAAACTACCGATCATTGAGAAATTCAGCACGTCTGAGGAATCTCTAAATTGCTAGCCACCGCACACTGCCGAATAAAATAAAAGGGATGTCCCACACGCCACCCAGGTGACTTCAAGGTATGTGTTGTTCCACCAGTCTGCAATTGGATAGCCTACGCCTTTCTCCGATTGGATCACCGCAAAGGCCCGAGGAGAAAGCGAGCACTTCTTTTCCCACTTTTCCGTAAAATATCCTTGTCCAAAAATCAAAAAAGCCAACAAAGAAACATCAAAAGAGCCAACTTTCACTGTATCTAAATTTGCGAAAAACTTTGTAATCGTGCGTACGTCTTGTGATATTACGACAAAAAAAGGAACTGGTGTCACGGATATACGCTATGTTAGAGGAGGCTGCCCACGCGCATCTCCAAGATGTTGTCTCTCTTGCCCACCATCGGCACTCCCGGGGTAGTATAGTGAGTGTTGATCCCATCTCCGAGACGTCGGGACTATACGCTCCTCCCCCTTAGCATCATCTTCCTTCTTACTACTGTATCCTGTGTGCGTTGTCAGGTTAAGGTGAGAGACCTCTCGAAGCGTCTTAAGCGAATGGCCATCCCACCGTTTTTGCATTTGTAAAGGCGAACTGCGCCTCGTTCACTTTTCTGATGTACTGCTATTTGATCCATTTCTTTGTATAAATATTGCATTCGCGACTTTTTGTCCCCACGTCTGAGGAAGTTTTTTTTATGCCCATAAAATACAACTACACGCTATTTTTGAACTTCAATTCTTGCTTGTTTATTGTAATATAACTCGTACAATCCCTATTTCAATTATGAATTATTAAATTTTATTTTACTTGCGTCATAACGACTCAAAACGTTCAACTAACTCGTATCAAATTTATTCATCATATATATACATTTACGCATATATTTTTATTAATAAATAAATACGTTTACATTACAAATATATATTTTTGAGACTGAGATTATATTTCGTTGCTAATTTTTACAATGTGAAATGATAATTTATTTAACAAATAACGACGGCGTTAAATCGCAATAATAAATTAGTACAATAATTTCATCAATCGCGTTATTTTGTTTTTAATTTATTAAATAAAAAATCGTTAAAATCGTTACACTAATTCTCTTAATTATTAAATATTTTGTGTTAAAGACGACAACGTTATTTTTTTAAATAAAGCTCAACACAGTCGATACTTTATAACATTGAAAACAATAAATATTGACTCTATAATTGTTTTCAAATTAAAAAAATATTTCTTTTTTCGTTTTTCATTCACTATTGAATCGATTAAAGACCAAAATATAAAGAATAACACTATTATTTTAAATTTTTATCAAAACTGAGCGGTAGAGAAAACCACCACTGTTATATATCTTATTAGATGAAAAATAATTATATAACATCATTATTTATTTCTGTTACTGATACTTGAAAAATAATCAATTTCGAAAAAACATTCACGAGATAAATAAAAACTTAATCAATCTGCGGGACTGAAAAAATGAAATACAGCTTCAGTATGTTATAAAGCAATGAACATACTCAATTAATATCTAACCTAAAGTTTTACCGAAATCTTTTCTGAATTATTCGACCAAATATTAACGTTCCATTCCAACGCCAGCTTTAACCGCAATAAAAATACTGGCACAAAAAATATTTTTCTCTAGCAGAGTAAAAAATTTGAATCGTTGATTCGCCTTCGTACATACCGACAGAAGTGCAAACAGACAAACGAAAACAATGGTATATTGGTATACTATGCTCGCAGCAGAAAACTTTTTATAGTTCATCAATTCGACGCCCAGGTACAGGTAGGATTGAGTCTACGAGTATGTAGCGTTCGGAACTCTTAACAGGAATGTCTGCACTTTCCAATATTTTATATGTGCACATGCTCGAGCAAGCATATTTTTGAATAGAGGAAAAGTGATTAGGCGCAGTGCGAGCGCGTTCTATTAGCGGAGGAGGAGAACCGACTAAATTTTAAACAAGTGTTAACATTTACACTCACAATCGCGCGCGCGCGCGCGCGCAGATTTCTCGTTTCCCGTACCCGTTAAAGAGAAGCAGAGCGAAGAGTTCAGCTCAGCAAGTTTAAATTAAATCATGTCGCAGCTCCCGAGTCGTACAAGACGGCGTTCGCTCGCAGTGCACATTCACGCTTGCACGCGAGAGAGAGAGAGTCCTTCTATATCCTCGCAGTCGCGCAGTGGGTAAAACTTTATGAGAAACTCGCAAGAGCGAAGCGCGACGACGACGGCGACACCGTTGCATTTTTTAATCAAGATCTCAAGTTCTTGAGGACAAAAAACTAAGCAAAAGCCGAAGTTGACTCGTTAACGCTGCAACATTAAGTTATTGCAAAATTAAACGCCTACTCACAACTATTCATATCGATTGTATAGTTAAGTAGTTTGCTAAAGCCAACCCGTCCGATGGCAACTTGCTTCGATAAGTAAATATTGAACGTTGAGCAGCTTACTCGACGGTTTTTATGGAAAAATGGATTTCTATAGTCCGGTCGAGTCGAAACGCGAAATTTGGAAAAGTAATGACTGAGAAATTCTAGTTTATTCTAAATGGAGAGAAAAAGAGCATAATAACGTAACATATTCCGATTCATTCTGCCATGATTCCTCTGTAATTGTAAGAAATAACGAATGTTGCATTTATTTTTCAGTGAAACCATTGATAGTAAGCATATTGGGGAAGGAAAAAGTAGTTTCCGCTAATAAAAGGTATGAGATCGAGTGTCAGAGTACAGGATCTAGGCCAGCCGCTATTTTAAGTTGGTACAAAGGATCGAAGCAGCTGAAAAATTCCTCGAGAGATGTAAGTAATTTATTTATAGACCTAGCACTCTCGGCTTTATCTACTACTTTTCATCAATTTTTTATATTTTATATCACTTTTGCTGTCGATAGATTGTATTTTTATCCAAAATCCATTTAGTTTTGTTTTTATTATTGCGCTATTCGGAAAACCAATAAAATATCTAGATCCGTTGCGTTACGTGACTCTTTCATCTCGTTATCAAAAAAAACCGTAAATGTTAAGAGCGTAGCAATGATACATAGAAGGGAGTTTCGTTATAAAGTCAATAGCCTCTATGAAAAATCTTCAGTGACTGATTTTCATAGAAAATAGACTTTTGAGTTAAGCCAACCATTGTACCTATGGGTTAATTCATAGTTTGCGCAATTATCATTGAAATCGCCATCTCGATACATACCCTTGCGCATTGATGAGTAATGGATATTTGGAATGCTCTACCAATTTGCATGTCATTAGTTCATCGAACCAAGGTTCATCGAGCATGTCTCTCGACAAATATATACAATTCTGGTGTAACTAAAACGATTTCATTGAATAGTTAATCGCATTTGATGCAAAGATAGTCGGGCTTTTAATACTTTATTCATATAACGTTTTGCGACTGTTGTATAAGCATAGTATAAGAAAATATAGAGTTTTTAAAACGCTCAATTTATTAGCCTGCGCGGAAACTTTTGAAACTTCAACTAAAAAAATAATTTTTGTGCCATACAATTATGAAAGATAATATTCACATTATCCCGTAGAATCCAAACTTTCCTCATAACTTCTACTTTCTCGTTCTTCTTCTGCATTTTTCCATTTCACCAATCGACTTTCAAATGATTCTTTCTCTTTTAAATAACATCGAGTAAATTTAAAAATATGATTCTAAGCTACACTTTACAATTATATTACATATATCAGAGGAATGATACAATTATTTTAAGTAATGAAACTGATGAGTGCTAAGTTGTAAACACTTGAATTTGGAGATAAAAAATAGTAAATCTAAAACTAATTAGCCATTGACAATTTAGATTTAATCAACAATTAAATTTTTTAAATTACATAAGTAACTCTACCCGGTCAATAAATACTTTACGTCTTATTATAGAAATATAATTCACTGAAAGGAAATCAAACTGAAAGCGCAAACACAAATGTTGAAATACGACAACTTTTTTTAGTTTCAGAAAGATGGAATGAGCGTAAGTATACTTCAATGGATACCCAATGCGGAGGATGAGGGAAAATACCTTATCTGTCGTGCAGAGAACCGACATTTACCGGAAGCAGCCATCGAGGATAAATGGAAGTTGAAAGTTCACTGTAAGTATAAACTTAAAGAAAAAAGCTGTCGAACATTTAAACAGAGAAAACAGACTCGAAAAATAACATTCGATTGTCTATAATGGAAGTTAAGTTTATAAAAAGGTATAAAATTTGAAAAATGTGCTACTACTATGTGGTTTTTATAAAAACTCGGAAATTTAAAACTTGAAGGGCCGCCAGATATATCATATTTTTATATTAATCAATGTATTATAGAACATTTTAAATAATTTAAATAAAGTACAATTCAATAAACTTGTTCCTTAAAAGATGAAATTGTAAAATCACATTTTTAACCATTACTTTTAAAATATAAAATTTTTGATAATTGAAAATAAAAAATCCATTCGATAAAATTCCCATGAAAAAGAAATAGTAAATCTTAATTAAAATTATAACTATGGAAGTAAATTTGAGTACTTGAAGAGTTGAAAATATTGCATTGCATTAACTCAATAATAATATACTTCAATGAAACTCTCGATTGATCTACTACTAACTTGCTTCATTCGCACTTTTCTTTGCCAAACTCACTGAGTCGTGAACCAATGAACTCTTAAAGGTTAACGATTACATTTTCAAACAGCATTTCTAATAAAAATATCGACATGAAACTTGATGTAATTTACTTGCTGATCAAAATTATTTCATAATGTGTATTTGAGTGCAGTGACTGTAACAATGCTATAACCGTCAATTTTAATTTATAGTATCAAATTCTACGTCGAAATCTACTAATTTCTATACTATGTATAGAGACATAATCTTAGAGCAAGAAAATATTATTCTAGTCTCTATTTCCATATAATAAGTCTTTTATCATCTGAAATTGGCTCTTGATCCATCATCAAACAACGCGAAAGCGGGCGTTGAGGAGCATTTTAATCGAAAATCACAAAAGAACGTGATAACGTATTTGCGTAATTCTATCGGAAAGCCAAACAAAAATACACTTGTGTACATTTTCCGACCAATAAAATTCATCACGCGTTAAAAGTAACATAATAACAGTATTCCTTTTACAACAGTTGTATCAAATTCTCTCTGCCATCCACTTCACCTTATTTCACATATAGTTCAGATCGAAAGTTCCGAACAACGACGAAAAATACTATCAAATTCCAAGCAAGGTTAAAAAAATAAAAGACTTTTCGATCAGCACACTGTTTGCATTTTCCCTCGTGAGCTTTTGAATGGAGCTCGTTCGCCGGCTAAAGTAAGTACTACAAGTATAGGGTGGGGAGAGGGCTATCGCGATCCGCGTTCAGTGCACAAACTAGCTGGATAATAGAGATGAATTCAATTTACCGGGAAAACTAATCATTTCCACTACATTTTCGCTGCTTTATCTCCAACGTCCAAGCATATAGCGGCCTTCCAATTTCACGGACGCGCTCTTTTTGACTTTTCATCGGTTTCGTAATAAGTTTTGCAACATGCGCCAATATTTGCGCGTACTATTCAAATATTAACTCTCGTACTTATCACCGTTATCGAAATATACCTACATGCGTAATATCAGACTATTTGATTAATTTTTTCGCTATCATGAAAAATAGAATAAACGTGAGCAGAGAAGTACTTTTAAAAACGAAAACAACGAAAGCTACGCGCGACAATAAAATCCCGTACGAAAATGCACTTGGCCGTACGGCACGATCAGATCAGGAAACTATCTCGTGAAAAAGCATTCGATTCGCGAGCGTTTCGCAATGAAAGAAAAAAAATAACCAGCCATATATAAGCGCGACTGAACTGTCCAACGTTGAATTTCGCCTCTCTCGAGTAAGAAGAAAATTAAGTCCAATCAGCCGGACTCTCGAGAGTACAACGTCTACGTGGAGTCACGTAGGGTATTTTAGCTTTGATCTAAAAGCCAAGAGGGGGTTCCGTGACCGACGGAGGTTACGGGCTCCACCTAAATGCATTTTATTTATTTTCAGCTGCTCTGAACACCAATTTCAAACAACAGGTAATTCGCTATTCACAATTTCATTGTTTGAATTAATTAATTTATTGATCAACTCACTAGTATTTTGAGGACGGCCATACATCCTTTATCTTATAAAAAATCCGTAGACATCTTTCAGTTTCAAAAAATATTAAACAGATCTAACGATATTGCAATTTTAGTTCCATCGACTGCCTACCTTGCTTATTTACGCTCACGTTGTCTTTGCTCCGTTATTGTTTGAATTTCAATGTCCCAAGTTCTATCCAATATTTTTCAATTTCTAAAGAAAAAGGTCATTCGTTATTAAATAATGATTGCACGGCATAATTTTGAACTTAGCTAAGATCGTTAATGCATTTTTTTGGTCATTCAAGCATTTTATTTATTAATAACTAATTACCGATACATTTCTGGATAAACCACCATCGAAATTCGTGTTCAGCATCTCAAAATATAATAAAAAAAGATAGAGAGAAAGAGAGAGAGAGAGAGAGAGAGAGAGAGAAATGGAAATCAAGCTCATATTTTACGGCTTCGCCCATTTAAAAAAGAAAGAAAAACTCTACTATACAAGAATCGCAACTCTACTATACAAGACAACTTATAGTCTACTAAAAAAAGCATATTGCCGAGGTGCAATTAACGATTGGCAAAGTAAAGTGCCTGACGACGAAGAGTGGATTCGCGGAGTAGAGTGAAAGTGTTCTTGAACTTTACGATATGCTAATTTTACGATTGTCGGCATAAAATGTAGGTCGCGCGCATGGCGAGATGGGTTTTTAAGTTGAGAGCGTTATACATCGCGCACCAGAGACATAAGTTTTCTTCGCTATATAGACAGAGAGTAGCAGCTGAATGAAGTTTAGAGAAGGCCTTTCTTCGCATGGCGCTGTAGAGAGAGTGTAAAGCAAGTTTTGTAAATCTTATTTTCCAGATCTAATAAAAGTGTTGAAGAAGTTAGAAGCGCTGTCCGATTCTCTCTCTTTCTCTGATCCATTTTAAGAAGCCCATAACTTCGGCTACGAATTGTTTTCTCTCGACCCGAGACCGCATAACCATCGTCTATCACTTCTTGTGATCGCATCATGTGCAATAATCTGCGCAGTCCCGTTCATAATTGTGATTGGCAACTTTCGTGCGCGGAATATCGTAATATGTGAAACCTCTTCACTGCGTTCATAGATCATTTTCAAATTAGAAACAGCTGGCGGAGCTGCGATGCTCTATTGCTAGAAGGTTTCTTGCACGCGAGTGCGACAAAACTATCGGGACATTGAAAAATACGAGCAGCACTTCTTCAAATTGCAAGAACTGTGCAGTGAAAATTATCGATTATTTCAAATGTGCAAGTAGACACGTTTCCCTCGAATGGTGTGGCTCGTTGTAAAGTAAGAGGGAACGATAAAAGTTGAAATATATGTTTGGTTTTGCAGTTGCTCCAATCGTGCTGCTACGTATAGGCTCAACCTTTGACCTGAAAGATATCAAGGAAGGCGATGATGTTTACTTCGAGTGCAACGTTAGAGCAAATCCCAGGAACTTTAAGCTGGCTTGGTACCACGGGGTAAATATACGCCATTTCCTTTAACTTTCTCTGAAAACGCTATCGATCAAACCCAAACTCCCTCGACAAAGAAAAGAAATACTTGTTTAAGCCAAATATATGATCGATGTACGTACGCGCGGACGAAGAAAAATATTTTTCGACCTTTCTCTATAACGTTTGGAGAGAGAGAGAGAGAGAGGGGAGAGAGAGAGAGAGAGAGGAAAAATCAGCGGTGAACTACATATCCAAGCAGTAGCTCGGGCTGAGGAAATGGATAGTCCGTAGCTTGAGAAAACAGCATGCTAGATATAGGTACACGCCTTGGATGTACGGGCTAGTCTAAAGGAAATGTTAAATTAAATGTGCCCCCGGCATTACGTGACCTTTACTCTCAATAAAACCGTTTGTATAGAAATGAACGAGCGCGCAGTCCACGTGCCAAAAATCGTTTGACATTATATGATATTAAACATTTCATTTATTTTAATAATTTTCAAAGTTTTTAAGAAAATGTCATCAGAAGATATTATGCACAGACGAATATAAATAAGAACAAAGTACAGGATTAATTTGTGGACAAGGTATAACTAAAAAATGTAGCCGATTATGTAATAAGTATTGTTCCATGATTAATTATTAAGTTTGGGAAGAGATAATCAGACTTCATCCTGAACTTTTAATTTTTTAAAAAGATAGCATAAATTGTTTAAATTTCATCTTAAATTTCAACCTAGACTCTCGGATAAAAATTCTCGTATTAAGTCTGGCTGTAATTGTTGCCAGACTTTATAGCGTATAGGGTAGTATTCATTGCCGTACTTTGACTACACTTAGTTCATACTCTTTTACATAGATTAAGCTTATTTTAAATCTCTTTGAAACTGCGCTTAAATAAGAAAATCTTTACACAGTATTTCCCGAGTAATACAGAAAGTTTGCCCAAACACGACAAAAGAAAAAGTTCGGTAGTAAATAAAAAAGAAGAGCATAAAAGAAAAAAAAATTTCTATATATTTCTTGCAATTAAAGCAAGGGGCTATAAAAGACAAGTGCACACACAAAGCCGCTTTGGCGCAAGTACAAGGCGCGGGTGCTCTCCAGTCGGGGTGGGTAATTTTTCAAGCCGTCGCGTGGTCGAGACAAAAGCACGAGCCGAGAGAGGAGCCGCTGGCGAAAAGCTCCTTGTCATTGCGCATTGCCCACTACGCCCGCCACAAGGTCCGTTGAGCTAATGTACATTAAAGTAAATAATTCGCCTTAATACGTAAAGACTCGTGGGAAAAATGGCTCATAGCACAGAGAGAAAGAGCGTCGATGCGCAAAGCGCAAAAAGCTTTTTAGCACGAGAGGAGAGAGAGAGAGAGAGAGAGAAATGGAGTTCGGTAGTTAAGCCGCTCAAGGAGGATCACGCCGCTTTCATTTATATCCCCCTTCCACTGGCGACGGATCCCTTTTCCCACGGAACCAACGCGAAAGAGCTTCGTCCTCCCTCTCTCTCGCTTTTGCGTTTATCTCTGCTCTGTGCTTGCAAGTACTCACTCACGTTCGTGTATACTCAGACCCGTGTGAAATATAAATATAAGCGGCAGATTCATTTTCGCGGAGCTATATCGCACGTTGCGGCCTCTACGTGGCCGAAGTAAAAGCGGCAGTGCCACTTGAAGATGATTATCGTCGCTGCTGGCTGATGCACCAATCCTTACTCCTCAAAGCGTTTACTGCTCGCTGCCAACAGAGGCCAAATTGCGCGAGCGCGAGCTTTTAGATACCGCATAAAAGAGAAACTGTATCTTCCCTCCTCTCACTCTCTCTCTCTCTCTCTCTCTCTCACACACACACACCCATCCATCCGCGTGCGAAAAGAGTTTGATGAGCTTTCGAAAATATATATACTCGTAAATGGAAAAATATCAATAACTTTGCTCTATCTATCCCACGATAAAATATTTTTTTCTTTGCAAAATAGTTTTTAATAGCTAACAGAAAAATGTTTTTTTAGTAAATAACATTAAAAAAAAGTGAATATTTTTCGAAATATGGAAAAATCAACAATACGAAAAGAAAAAAAATTATACAAGTAAATATTAAGGCTGACACAGTAGAGTAGTTCATTGCCATAGAAATGCATTCTCTTGGAATTATCGTAAATTTATGATCGCTCGGTATGTCGTTTCCCGGTTATTCAAAAATTTTTCGCTCGTCCAGAAAACCCGATAAATTTTACAGGAAAATCACAGGATTTCACGCGTTCACCTCGTGTATAATAATCCAATAAAAAAAAGGAAAACGAGCTCGAATTTGGCATCTGAACTATAACACGTGAGGCATGTGAATTTTATGTAGACCGCATAGGACGCGCTGTACGACGATAACGCTGAAAATGATCCCTACATGTACGAAAATTATACGCTATTCAAAAAACTTTACCAAACACCTGTTATTTTCTATTGGGCAGAAACCGAAAATACTTGATGATACTGAAAATGTTAGGGTGAGAAGGACTGAGAGTGGAAGTTTTAAAACATTTGATATAAGAACGCCGGATTTATTCAACTCGCAATGAAATAGCTTAAATATAACAAATAAAACCGGAACGCTCGGAACCAAAGTAAGATTGCAATTAAAACTAACGGTACAAATTACATTTATAAAAGTTTGAAATCTCAATCGCAAACTGAGTTAGTTAAAATTAAGAAATGATTAATTTTATGTCGGCACGGAAATCGTATCTCTAAATTTTACAAAGGTATAGTTGACGGAAGTATAATTAATAGAGTATGATTAACGCACGCGTGCTCAACGATAAGCGGCTTGCCTTTTATCAGAGCCTGATCTAGAAAGAATGAAACACATCGCCGCGCCAGCTGAGTCCGAGGCAAAAAAAATTTTTTTTTATCTTAATTCCCTTTCCTCGCACGAAGGTCGAAGGCGTGAACTTCTTGACCTCCTGCCAATGGGGTTTCATTATTCACGTATCAACTGCTCCTTACTCTGTTTGATTGGCTCGAGTCGAAGTCTGTCATGAATCCAACCGTGCGCTAAAGATTGTGCCGTGTTTTGGTGGCTCGTGTTGCGTTGTTTGATATTGCCGGCTTTCGGCTCAAACAACGGGGTGACGGACGCTCAATGTCCGTCGTCGGCAATCAGCTTTGAAAGGTAACCTTTCAACCAGTCTGATTGCCACAATGCATTTGCCATCTTTTTTAGCGATGTATGCATTTTGGCGAGTTTGGAGGCAGTGATCGTAGCAAATAGTCAAATCTGATTCCAAATCGCAACTCAGCTTGATGCGGCGCACGCCTCTCTCATACGCTTATTTCAAGTAAACAATATTCGTGCACAATAGTGTTGCTTAAGTTTCGAGTTTCGAAGAGGCTGTAATTGAATTTAACAACAAAGATAAGAGATTCTTTTAGAAATGAAAGTGTCGATGCCGCTACGCATGGTCACTCGATCTTGATTTCGAGTTCGATATCGCACGCGCGCATCGATTAGCAAAACAGTCCACGGCGTAATGAAATGATCTAAGCGCAATGTCTTTGTCCGAAAATTCTGTAAGAGCATATTTCAAAATACATCCGTAACAGAAAAATTATCTGTCACAATGTACTATTCGGACGATGTATCGGTATGACCATTTATCGCGGATATTATTCTTTTTTTAAAGGAATTGTTGGCATTTTACAAAAAATAAGCTTATAAAGATCCTCTTAATTCAATAATTTTTGTATTGGTCGCCTTTATCGATTACATTTTTCAAAAACCCTTATTTTCAAAAACCTGATTTTAATGATTGTGAAGTTCGATACAATACCTCATATAACTCGCGATAAAAACTATATTTTTAATACCTCGAACCCAGACATACATAAAAATGAAAAAACAATATTTTCCAGACCAAAGAGCTGCGACATAACGCTAGCGCGGGTATAGTGCTTGCCGATCAATCTCTCTTCCTCCAGGGAATCACTCGGGAAGCTTCAGGGAACTACAGCTGTCTTGCGGTCAACTCCGAAGGCCATAATAGATCCAATGTTATTTACCTTCATGTTATGTGTAAGTTTTTGACTGGTTTAAATAATTTTTCTCCATAGTTTTACAATTAAAAAAAAAACTTGACTGACTGCAAATTTGTCCATTGCATAAGTGTATTTTATAATACAATCATGAAAACGTTTTCATGGGAGAACAGCACGTTCTATTTGACTTTTATAAATTCATTCGCAGGACTACTCAACTGATTAAATAAAAATGCCACTCTGGATCGTCGAGATATTAATAACTTTAAAAAATAAAATTCATTTTCACGAAAGACATTTTCGCTGATTAAAAAACATGCAGTGCAATTAAAAAAGAAAAAGAATAAATTCGTAGTTGTAACTTGGCAATCTTATCTCAGTCAATCCCTTCAGAGTAGAGCGCGTCGCTCTTTAAAAGTAAGTTTAATCTGGGCACAGCCCCTTAATTCAACTAGTCTCAAGTGTCAATTTGCTTCTGTCGCGCACTTTGTAACTTACACCCTCTGTTGCGCAGTAAGCAAGCAACTCTCACTCTTTCCTCGCTACAGTGAACTGACGAGTAACGGGCTTACCATCCCTCTGTTCGCAGTCGCGCCAATTTGCAAACGTTTGAGCCCGATAAATCTGAAGGACGATTACGAGCAGCAACAACCCTCGAACTTCCTTCTCAGCAGTGGCGAAGAGAACGGAGAATCCGCGACAAATTCAAGTTTCGGTCATCGTCATTATCAAGTGCTCAATCTTGCGTGCGAAGTGGAAGCAAGTCCGACGGAAGTGTCGTTTCATTGGACGTTCAATAATAGCCGAGAATTGAGCGATGTGTCACCTTCGAGATATACCAGTGACAGTACTGTTAGCCAGCTGAAGCATCAACTTAGGAGCGACGAAGATTATGGTACCTTTGGTTGCTGGGCTAGCAATGTCGTTGGGCAATCCAAGCAGGCTTGCCTCTATCACGTTCCTACTCCTGGTATGCGATGCCAACATAATGATTAATAGCCATATCGGTTTATTCTCTCTCTCTCTCTCTCTCTCTCTCTCTCTCTCTCTCTCTCTCTCTCTCTCTCTCTCTCTCTCTCTCTCTCTCTCTCTCTCTCTCTCTCTCTCTCTCTCTCTCTCTCTCTCTCTCTCTCTCTCTCTCTCTCTCTCTGGGAGAACATTTAATCAGCAAACAGAAAAAATGCTCTTTCTTTGAATTGGGAACATTGCATACATTTTTTTGTAGTTTTTGTCAATACAATCATTTTAAAATGTTTATATGTGATATTCTAGTATGCATCAATATTTTGCCATCTCTATCTCTCTCTCGAGAAAGGAAGAGAGAGCGAGAGAGAGATAGAGAGAGGGTGAGAGAGAATTTCATCTTACAGTTGCACTTTTAGATGGAATTTATGTGTACATAGTGCGCAGGGCAGTAAAGCAAGAGATTCCTACTCTCAAGAGAAAGGGCTAGAGCTTTTCCTTGAATTCTCTCCCTCCTTCATCGCGTCACTGGTTTAAGAGCTATACGTATGTAGCTCAAAACCCTTCGAGCGCTATAGATGTACATGCGCTGAATGAGGAAAAAGGAAAATGCATCAAACTTATGAAAATATGTATATAAATTTGACAGAAATGTATAAGAGATTATTATTATTTCGATTAAATTGTCAATTGCAATAAAATTAAAATAAAAATTAAATTCTCAACTCAACTAAGTTGATTATTCACGCTCGGTTGTAAATATCGAAGAAGTCCATTGAAAGATCAACTTATTGATCTGATATGGCAAGGTTTCTCTAATATGGAAAATAAACAAATAAATATTCTTTGCGATATTATGCCAGCTGATCTATCGACACTGAAAAGACTTTGAATAACAAAATTCTCTTCTTCGATAACAAATTGATGATTAAAGAAAACGATAAAGTTCCATAATTCTTTTTACTTATTTAAAAAATATTTTACAAATCACGTTTTATAAGAAGCTCTAATTAATGTACAAGTGCATCAGCCAAATTTCTAAGTCATGATTCAACATTTTTGACGCGCTCAATATAGATTTAATTCTCACGTTCAGTGCGCGCAGTGTATCTTTAAGTGTCATTCGGGGGCGCGGTAGCAGTAGCGAGCATTGCACGAGCTGGATACACGTAACGAAAGTGGTCGGTGTGCAGACGGAAGTTGGTTACTGTCTCTCTCTTTCTCTTTCTCTCTTTCACTGACACACACACACACACACACACATAACGGTATAGTGTTAAACATTTACTTTCAAAATAGTGCGGCGGAAAAGCCTCGCGTGGAATATAACCAAATGAAAATTCCGCCTATTTGGGTATCATCTCCGCTCTTTCTCTCTCTCTCTCTCTTTCTGTGTGTGTATATATGTGTATATATATATATATATATATATATATATATATATATATATATATATATATATCAAGAATGACAATCCACTAAAGCGCAACGGGATTTTTGATCCCCTTAGTAGTTCCCCCGGTTAAATAACGGGTGAGCTCAGAAGTATATTCAATTGACTCTGACAAAATATAGATAGGGTGGTAATATTTTTGTCGTCGAGAGTGAAAATTGCTAACACAGAGTCATTGAAACAACGTTAATTTGCTTGTCAAAGTCAAACTCACCGCTGCGGAAAATGGACAGAAACGAATTCGTTTCATTTGTCAAGCGCGCTCCGGCAATTTTTTCCATAGCTCGTGGTAACGATTCTCTCTTGGCAAGAATATACGTGTGTATTCGTATGAAATAAAGACTGTTGCTAACTGACAGAAACCTGTCTCTCCTTCGTCCCAGACACTTTTGTTAATAAGGTAAAATCATTTGTCGCCGTCCAACAGAATACCTATATTCGCCTGGTCAAGCATTCAAATTTAATTAAACTCATAATTAAATACGTTCATTACGCGGCGACTTTTCCGATATTACAGCTCCTTCCTATCGATATGTTAATGTGTTAAAGTGTGTGCCATAATCTGACGTTTACGTGTCTGCAAATAGAATGAATTAATTTGTCGCTACCTACTACAATATTTTTCTTTTCTTTTTTAAATTACCGAATGGACTTTTACCTTTGTCGAACGAGCTTTGTAAAAATCCATGTACGTTTCTTACAGTGCTACAGCTGCGGGTAATTAAAGAGTTAATTGAAACTATGACCTGCTCGCAAAGAGCGAGAGAGAGACAGAGAGAGAGAGAGAGAGAGAGCGCAGGTACATACGCGCCGTTGGAATATGAATCTTATATTTTATGATTACTTTCATTGCAGTAAGTTTTTTCTCACGCTCTATTGACAAATGTAAAACTGAATCTTTCATTACTTTCTGTGTGTGCTACGTTTTCAAATTGTTTGAGAAAACGTACAAATAATAAAACTTGTAATTTTTTATATTTTAGAACATATTTACAACATATATTCAATTAGTTTCTCGTTCTACTTACTTTGTTATACTTTTACTTCGTATATAAATAATAACTCCGAGCAAATTTCAATAAATACAACAATCGATGCTTTAACTCTTGGTAATTAAATATATTTTCTTCGTCGACACTAAATTATTGGTGAATAATCTTAAATACTCGATAAAAGTAACGTAAGGTTCAGTAACAGAGCTTTCAGCAAAAAAAGGACGCTTAACGCTTTATTAAAAATCAAACCGAACGGTAAAAATAAGAAAATGTCTACAGCACCCGCACAAGAACTCATGGTTATTTTAATCGTGAATGAAAATACGAGCTAATCGCAGTATTCGCGTCGATTGACTTAGGCAATAAAGAGCTTTCATATACTTGTGAGTTACGTGTTCTTTGTTTTGTGTGTCGACAGTTAACCCGCTACCTCTACAGAACTGTACGGCGCACAATCAAAGCGGCAGCTGGATACGGATATCCTGTGTGGAAGGTTTCGATGGTGGCTTGCCACAAAAGTTCGTCGCTGTAGCGGACGAGCGACGCTGGGAATCGAGCACCCCCTATTGGGAAATCGAAATCCATAAACCAACCACGGTCTCTCTGTACGCGGTCAACGCAAAGGGCTCCAGCGACCCCATTATTATGGAAGGCATTGCCTTTAAAGACGTGGCCAAATTTACGGGTAAGTATATAGCTTAGCTGAGAGAGAAGCTGTGCTATCGCCAATGCTATGTGTTACACGCCTATCCTCGCGACTTGATTTACAACGCCTACGCAGTCTGTCTCTGTGTCTGGATTATTAATCATGTGCACTACCCGCACTAGCTAGACCGTATAGAATGCGCTCGTACGCAGCATTGCTATTTAGTCTCTCGATTGTCTACTAAACAAACATTACAGATGAAATCTGTTACCGAATCTCTCACTCGACTTGTTATAAAGCGATGTCAAGCGATTTTTATTTCCACCACACGAAAATTTTGCTAACAAACAAGATCACCGATTTTTTTGAAATTTGAAAGACGATACAATGTATCATCACAATTATTTCAGATACTTCACGAGCACGAATAATGATTTGAGACTCACGATTAGTCTGACTCTTTTTTGATAATTTGTTAGGTTGTCGAAGACTATTGCATATTACATGACACTCTACTTGTAAGTTATTTTGAAATTTCGAGACATGGTATTAACATTTTAATTGCGTACATCAAGTGAAATTATTCGAATTGATAAACATACGATGCCACGGAATACGCGAAATTTAGTTAAAGCAAAAGATATTGATTTCACGTCAAATAAACTCCACTGCAAAAATTATTCGCAGGAATAAACATTTGGCATAAAATTTAACAATATATGCTGTGCCACGTTACATTTAATTCCACATAAAACATTGAATGAACGATAGTTAGGTTTGAAAATGATAGGTACGGTGCTGAATTGGCAATCAAATCGGAAAAAGAAACGTCGAGGTAAAAGACGAATTAAACGTGGGAAAAGAACTGAAAAAAGAAATGAAAAAAAAGAGCAAGCTTGATGTTCACACATACATGCACATGCACACAGGAGAGACGGGCATTTCACTGGACATATCACCGATCTTGATTGGGCTTGGAGGGACGGCTACCGGATTAGGGCTTATCGTGACCGGAGTATTAATGGCGCTGTGGAGAAAACACGCCAGCTCACCGGCGTCTAAACCGAAACCACTTCAACAGCCAACCAATGCCACATTTGCGGTCAAGGCAGAGGAAGAGGATGGAAATCCTGATCTTATACCCACGACAGCACTGACCAATAATTATACAGGTATACAAAGCAGCACCTCGGCCGTTACATAAATTACTTCGATAACTTGCCACACGACTCGCTCCTCGTTAATTTGTAATTTGCCTTTCCTTTCGACTTTATACCGCGGCCAACACGATAAACGATCGCCACGCGCCAGCCCAATTTATCGAACACGCGTAAATTATTTTATTTTCGTTTGAATCTTCCGCAACTGCTTACGTGTTTTATTTATGGAAATAACGTATGTACACGCATAAATTTACAGCTAAACGTACGCGTGACCGCGTTAATTCGGCTTATTGCATATGCATAAGGAGTTTTATGCATGCAGATTGAAAGTTGCGAATAACTTTAACATTGACGATAAGTTGGTCTATTTCGCGGGCAAGGAGGGCGGATATTATTATTAGTTCATTAACTTTTTCAAAAGCTTCTGCACTTGCCAAACAAGCGTCCTTCTATTGAAACTTTTTCTCGATGATAATACCATCGGATTATTTTACAGATAGGAAACTTTCCATTTATGGCTCTCTACCGAGGAGATCGAATTTCGCGGAAGATCCTCAGTTGCCTCAGAGTATTATACAAGATATGGATTATCCCCGAGCTGCGCCGAACGTAAGTATCGTTAAATCAAAACTGATGGCTGGGCTTTTATTGTTCGCGCACGCGCAACAAAAAATAGTTGAATTAATGTAGTTCTTTACTGTTATCATTGCAGACGTACTACAGCTTACAAAGACCAAGCCGATATACAGAAACAATAGTCAGACATACAACCGTCCATGAAAGCTGTATTTAAAACCAAGTGAACATATTTAATGATCTACACACATGCGCCCACACAGTCATGAACACAATTGTGAACTGAAAAATGAGATATTGGATTGTCTACAAAAGCGAATTTTAAACACATACAAACTATTTATAGTTACTTGACTGATCATATGTTTGTAAATATTGTACATAAATAATTTATACAAAAATGACTATCTGTTTCTTACTTATCCAACTTTCCAATAATACCATCAACAAATTTTTACTATGATTAACGAACGATCTGCATTCCATTGTATGCAAGAAAAGTTTATCTCTACTTTTTCTTTAATCAAAACCCAGCTTTATTCATTGCAAACTAATAAATTAACTATCTTTATGAGCTCAGTCACTCGTGTGTTTTCGAAATTTCAAGACTAATATAGTTATAATTCTCACTGAATAACTGACCGATGAAATATTTTATGAAAGTAGTAAGCGAAAAGCAAGTGGGAAAGAGTGGAAACGAATTTAACTTTGAGTTTTTGGTCAAAATGCACTTCTACGAGTCATTTCAAACCACTCAAGCAAGTTTGAGAGGAAGAATGACAAGAAGAACCTCAAATACCAAATTTCGAGTAAGTTCTCATAAAAATAAGAAAAAATATATCAAAATTACACATCAAAACAGTGAACGAAGAAGTTAATAATTAAGTTTTAATTCTATTTGATCAGAAGTTTTATCGAGATTTTAATGCATGTAACAATTTGTTAACAAAAGAGAGCCAACAAAGCATCATCTTTTGGAAAATAATGTCCTTTCGTAATATCATTATTACAATTTGGAACACTACAATATTTCCTTTCATAAATCTTTAAAGAACTTTTGAATTATAAATAAGTTGAATTGCTTTCTGCACATTAATTGTGTTATTATCCGTGTGTTTACTTAACGTTTATGGATCACACCGCATGCGACGGTCGAGATGAGAAAGGTGTTGGTGTCAATATTTTGAGTAAAAAATATTGTCAAAAAATGATAATAAGTTTTAAGAAATATGAATCAAATATATGTACAATTTTTTTTCAATCTGCTGCTGTCAATATTAAACATTACATTTGATCTGTACATTCGTGTTTATGTTTGCGCAATTACGGATTTGGCATAGCAGCGCCCCCTGATGACAGAAAGATTCTCATTATTTTCATGCCGCGGGGTAAGCAATATGATAGCAGTTGAAAATTGACAGCTAAAATTAAGTTAACCTTTAAATGTAGATTTAGTGCATTATAATATGTCTCAAGATAGAGGTAAATTTTTATTTTTGAAAAAAGGAATTATATTATTTCCATAATAATTTATAATCGTATTATTTTCAGGACATTTCAAAAGTAGGAAGGGATATGGAAACTACAAAAATAAAAATAAAGTAAACGTTGGAGATATAGGTAGACAGGTGGCAGAAAGTTTAAATGAAAACAGTTTAGTAATACAACAGTTTCGTAAGTACGCTGCAGAATTAGATGCAAAGCATGACAAGTATGAAAAAATAGTGAAAGTTAGTCGAGATATCACAATTGAAAGCAAACGAATTATTTTCTTACTCCATACTCTTGACAAAGAAAGTAAAAGAGACACTATACTGAGTGAAGCAGAGAAAAGATTGAGTAGTCTTATTGAAGTGATGTTTAAAAAAGTAGCATTAGAATTAGAAGGAGAAGATCCCTACATGTACTTGCGAGCTTATCGTGCAGGCTTTCAAGAATTTATTGAGGCTTTAACATTTTTCTGGTATTTAAAAGATAAATCACTTCATGGTTGGGTAAAAGTAGAAGATTCAATGAAATATACAATTAAAGATCTAATCCCAAATTCAACTGATGATAAGAAAGACAATCAAGAATGTGATATTGATGCAAATATTCAAGAAAGTGATAATAAATCAGGCATTCAAGAAAGTATTAATGATACAAGTATTGAAAGACAGGTACAGGTTCTAGTATCACCAGTAGAGTATATTTTGGGAATAGCTGATCTCACAGGAGAACTGATGCGAAAATGTATAAATAATTTAGCAACTGGTGACATTGACAATTGTTTTGAAACATGTAATTTTGTTAGGAAAATGTATACAGGCTTCTTAGGATGTTCTGGTGCTGGAAGAGAAGTAAGCAGAAAATTATATACTTTAAAACAAAGTTTAACTAAAATGGAAAATGTGTGTTACACAATTAAAGTGAGAGGTTCTGAAGTTCCAAAACATATGTTAGCAGATGTAGCTGTAATGAGTTGCACAGGTGATACATCATTAGATGATGATGAGGGTTATCAAGTGAATTAAGTATAATTTGTAAGATTTCATATTTATATTATAAAAATATATCCTTATCTGAAAAATTTTTGTATAATTCTATATTGTATTTTACTAAGTTCCTAGTTATTTTTAGTTTTTTTCTTTTTCTTTTCTTTTGCCTCATTTTTCTTTTTCCTTTTCTTTGTCTCTTTTTCATCTTCATCATCTGAGTTATAATCATTTTCATCATCTAAATCATCAAACTCCAAATCACTATCAAATTCATCATCATCGAGATCATCATCATCTATAAAAGAATCATCATATTCAGACTCATCCACAGATTCTTCCATTGAATCTTCAAAGTCTGATAAACCATCTAATAATGTGGTTCCCATAGGATTTTGAGTTCTTTTACGTTTAGTTGCAGTATGTTTATAATCTAATTTATGCTGTGGATTTTTACGATAACATAAAATTCCATAAGGACATTCTGGCCTATTATCAGGATCATCATAGTCAGTATCTCCAGGATGACTAAATTTATCTTTGTGTTCAGTATTTAACCTGATTAATTTTTTAAATAAATTTATTATAAATTAAGTTGAGCATAATTATAAAATTAAAATGTTATTTCAAATTTGAAACAAACCTATAACATGTGTTTCCATATTTACATTTTTCTCGAAATGGGATTTGAGTTAAAGGTAAAGATGCTTGATCAGAATTTTGTACAGAAGCTTGATTTCTATCAGCTGTATTATCTGGCTCTGTTTTCTCTGCATTAGGATTTAAAGCACTCAAATCACTACTTTCAACTTCAGTCAAATGTTTATTTCTAGGATCTTCAATTTCTCCTATGACTGCATTTTCTGAATTTATATTAAAACCAATCTCATCATCAGGTTTTTTATCAGAGTTATTATGATTCTCGTGGTTATCATCAGCAGTATGTTGTGATACTTCAACATTTGGTTTGGAACTTTAAGATCAAGATTAAAGAAGAATTAAAAATAATAAATATAAATCTATTAAATTTTAATAAATAAACATACTTTGATACTGTTTCACAATTATTTTCAATGACTTTAATATTAGAATCTAGTTGGATCATAGCCAACTCTTCACATTTCTGTTTAATTTGTTCTGGAAATTTCAATTTACCATTACTCTCTAGACATTGTCTTATATTTACTGAATCATTCACTGCAGACTGCTCTAGCTACAATAAAAAATAAAAAATGTTTTAAACAAGAATTATAATTTATTAAATTTTTCATGACATATGAACTGGAAGAGCTCAAATAATAATAAACTAATTATGATTTATCAATTTATAATATGTCTAGATTTTTCTTAATTCTTTAAGAAAAAATAGTATAAGAATATAAACTATATTGGTTAAAATACCTCTCTCTTTGGACTTCTGCTCTCACTAATAGGCTCCATATCGAATTGTATTTGAAAATAAACAATCAATACTTTCTAAGGCCGACATTATTTAATACGTTAATGACTAAACAATAGCTGTATATCGCACAATAGAGCACACATGAGTTTCATTTGGTTTTCTATGATGAACTCATAGCTAAATTTTCCATTCAAAACTACTAAGTCATCCTCTTCAAAATGTAGTTACAAATGTGTGAACGTTTTGAATAGCTGTAGCCAAAGTTATTTTTAATACAAATGTTGTCCAAAAATTATTATTTTTGACATTGATCGGGGTTTCCGTATACAAAAGTTATTCATACAAAAGGTTTGCGGTCCGCTTATAGGGCGAACAAGGCGTAAGCGAAGGAATATTTGCGTACGCGTTTATATAATTCTTCGGACGTAATATATGAGCTTTCGCGTACGCGAATATATCACAGAAATTTTCGCGTAATTTTCATATGCAACGATTCTAACTGACCAATTTTTTCCGTATGCAAGAACAAGAATACAATTTTCGCGTACGCAAAAGACTGGCCGAGAAATAAGCTACTGTACACGCTGAATATACAGTTTCGATAAAAATCTTGGGTACACGAAAGTAAATTTGCAATCGAAAGATTTTAGTGCTGTTTGATATTGGATTCTTCGCGTGCGTAAGTACGTATTTGAAGAAGTTTTTACATCTGCAAAAGATACCACGAAATACTTCGCGCACGCGAAGATTACCATCTTCGAATACGCCAAGTGTAAAAAGTAGTCGTCGCATATGCGATGGATAGTAATACACGTTACACGATAAAGAAATTCCGCGACACTAAAAATATTTAGATTAATATTTATACTCCATATTTGCAACTCGCTGTCTATGATATTCGCTGACTGTTGTATCCATACGCGAAATTTGAATGAGTGCATAAAAACTTCGCGCACGTGAAGCAATTCGCATATATAAAAACGTACCGGTCGGTCGTGCCGGACTTGTATAGTTATGTTACTCAAGAACAGACTTTAGACATCACCTCTCTAGCTGATGACCTAATCTCACCATGCTGACCTGTATAACCTATCACAATTTTACGTTTACACACGCCAAAACGGTGATAAAAAGTTATAACTGAAAAAGCAGGAGCTTATCAAACCTCCTACATGACTCCACGCCGTCAAGTAAATTTCGCGCATGCGAAAACTGCTGACGAAAGCCATTCGCATACGCGAAGGCCTGCGTGCTCGAAAAACAACGGTCGCATATGCGAAGGTCTGCGTGCTCAAAAAACAACGGTCGCGTACGCGGAATGTTATCCTTGTCCTCGCGTACGTGAAAATGTTTTTGAATATTTCTGTGATATATCCATATACACGAAAGCTCATATTTTACGTCCGAAAAAATCATATACACGAACATTCTTTCGTGTATCTGTTGCTCGCCCTATAGGCAGACCGATTAATTTATGCATATCTTACCTTCAATAATTGCGAATCATAAACAAAATAATAAATAAAATAATAACTACTTATTTACTGAAATAGAAAAACAATCTTAAATAATATTTATGGACAATGGTTTACCTGTTTACAGTGCTAAAATACTTTTGATTGCAATCAAAACAAACGCGTGCGTCGTATATAGTACCGTATACTGAGAGGTTATGTACTCTGGTAATATACTGCTACGTGGCGGCAAATAAGCGTTTACGTATAGTTTCGAGTTGAGATTTTAGTAATAAAAATTCAATATATCAGAATTGATACGACACATTTTGAAATTAACGAAAATAAAAAATAAATTGTAATGTTATTGTTTTAACATTCATTTTATGATACCAGCAGCGAGTAAATCGTTTCGTAAAATCAAAAGATTATATGCTTTGAAATGGTTTTAATTATTTTCTATTATTAATTGATAATCTGATTTTTGAATGTGCAAGATTGAAATAAATTTTGTAATATTGAAATTTTTATTCAATGAGGAAGATAAATGTTTAATAATAATTTGACCCACGCACTTAAAAATAATTAAAAGATTATTTGTTGAAATTTTCGATATGATATTTTATGAATTTGGAAACGTGAAACTGTTTTACTAATATACACATTTTTCCACTGAAACATGTGTTTTGTAAAAATATTGAAAAATCTACCTTTGAAAAAAGTATTTTTGTTAAATATATTAATCAATATAATAAGAAATGAAAAAGCAGATAAGAGCGCGTGAAAAGCGTTTCTGACGTCACTAGTATTTTATATTTGAGAAAGTGTTTATTAGTTTCGATTAAAAATAACTACCACTTATTTGATCTCGTGATATCTCAATCTATTACTGTTGCGATATATAAATGTGAGTTTCGTAATTCAAATTATCGAAGCATAAGAAGCTATAATACCTCGTTCAAATTTGACTGAATGCATTATAAAAATTGATGTTTTCAGAAATGCAATAAGTATATATCATGTTTTTGCAATCAGATCTCTGATATGTATCCAACGATCGTTAAATGTTATGAAAATAATTGGACGAATGCCCAGGAATGCGTAAAAACTTACACAGTTTACGTTGTATTCTCGTAAAGTTGTAAATACCTGTATCATTTATTCCGTGTGTCATTCTATTCTCTCACATTTCATCGAGTAATTAACCGCACTCCTTGCCATGTATTTTTACGAGACCATTTATCAAAATTGCAACAAATATTTTGATATCAAACTTAAAGTTACGAGAAAAAAATTATTTTTATGCGGTGAATTAATAGAAATGGAATTTCCGGTAATATACTCCAACAAGATAATGCGTTTTATGACGGCATGGATGAACTACAAATTTTCGATTTCCACCTTATAATGTTCGAAGAAATTGTTAATGCTCTAAATTATATTATTCGCTCCCTATGAGACTATTGCAAAATTAGATCAACCGAATCATGACGCGCAAAATCAAATTATTTTTCAATTAATCAACAGCGTCATCCGCATATATAGAGGAAAAAGGTATTGCCGTTATGCATATGCATGTGTGTTTACAAACCGAATTATTCTAACATCTAAAAGCGAATCTCCCTTAAATAAAACATTAATCATCCTTCCGCCCGTTATAATTGGCAGCATCATCCGCTTTCTAATAATAGATAGACAGCTAAAGCAACACACGCATGGCGGCGCTAGCGTGTGCAAAAAAAAAAAAACACAAACTTGACCAATGGTAAAAATATACATTATTAAGCCATATTAATTGCGACATTACACATGTGAGAGCTTTGATGAAAAAAGTATTTGGCCTTTTTGTCGTTTTCGAAAATTTCAGAGGACCTTGGCCCGCTTGGAACGCGACTCTTTTATATTTACCACGCGCGACCGCGACCGAGTCGCTTCGACTCCGGGGTTGAACGGACATCTTTCGTCCTTGAGGTGGAATTGTTTTTTTGCAAGCTCGCGCGTCACAACATACTTATTGGTCGTGAATTTTATTTTGAAAATGCACTGACACCTCTTCAAATAACAAGTTTATTGCCATTTGATTTTCCAATCGAATCAAAAAACGCGCTTCAATATTAAATGAAAAAATATTCGGGAAATTGAAAAATAAATTTTGACACATATACACTTTAACAAGTCTTGTTGAGTTTGCGCGACTAATTAATTTCTTGAAGTATACTTACGCGCGCGTATCAATATTTAAATAAGTGAATACTTCGTTGCAGTACACCATGGCCATAGCATAACTTGCAACTTAAACATAGTGATTTGACTTTTGGCATCCGTTTGAACGCTCGCTCGCGAGATGCAGACAGAGAGAAAAAGGGACAAGGTACATAAAGACTTTACGACATGTACACCGTTTTCTTCCCTCCAAATGTTAAACTTCCGAAAGTAATACGACTGTGCGTTTTTGCGACATTTCATTAATCAACTTTTACATCGTCGTATGCAGAAAGTTGATGCCGTGAGCCGTAAATAATCGCGCATAAGTACGTCAACGAAGCAAAACCGGCGCGGCGTGCGGAAACGAAAAAAGCTCGCTCGTCTCGTAACCTTAGCACGGATTCTATTTTTTTTCGCGCGCACGGTGTGGCTGCTGCATATCGGCAACAGAAAAAAAGCTAAGCGCGCGCGCGTGAGAGAGAAAGAGAGAGACAGACGCTGTCGACGCGTAGAAGATTGAAAGAGTGAGAGAGGGAGAAAAAGAGAGCCGAAGAATGAGAGGGCGTCTAAAAATGACGCAATCGAGAGACCTGGCCAACGAGCTCGGCTACCGAGCGGCCAGAACCGTACGAACTTTTACCGCGGCCGCATCTGCTTCTCTGTTGAAAGCTACCATTATCTACCTGTTTCTTTTTGTTTTCAACAGCGCGAACGACGTGGCAGCTGACCTGCTGCTGCCGATAATATTTTTTTCTCTAGCGAAATCAAGTTGTAACGTTCAGTGACTTAAAAATCAAGCAACAAGATGGTCTACGAAAGCGACTTTTACACGACCCGTCGGCCTTACTCCTCATCCAGGCCTTACGTCTCGTCGTACTCCGTGACGGTCAGTATTCTTGGTTAAATCTGTGTATTACCCCCCCCCCCCCCCTTCAAAGTAGATTTCATCTCCAACCACTGACCCAAAACCACCAACCAACCTTGTTGTCTTTTATGCTCGGCTCGCTCTTTCGGGGTCCGCCGTGGCTCAAAGTCACGTCAATGTCGTCAATTTATTTTCTTTAGAAATTATATTTTGGCAAAATCAGCAAGTTTTATTAGTGCGTTAATTGACACTTCTGAAGTTGACGAAATCTCATGACTCCACAGCCGACCTCGAGAGGAATTCTGAGAACGTCTAGGTAACTGAAGGCTGACAGTTCTTTCGAGACTAAAGCACACCTGTCAAACGTTCGAAAGTTTCGTGACCGCGCAGAGATCTTGACATTACTTATAGTGTTGTTAGCTATTGTCTTTGTGCTTGTTATATTTAATAATTAGCGTAAAAAGTTAAGAGGTGATTCATTGAATATTGGAAGTTTTCATTAATTATTGAAATTTTAGTGTTAATTAGCCGATCGCTAGTTTTACAAATAATTTAACGTTAATAGCATTTTTACGTTAATCGATTGCTAAAAATAACTTTGTAATGCGAGTATTGTTGTTTCATTATACTTCAGTTTTAAGTAAAAATCGCAGGCAAAAACAAAAAGCTCCGAAAAAAACACATCAATTTAGCTGCAATAAAATTCCAATAAAATCACCTCTTTCGTGTGTCGACTAAGGAGATACTGTCACTAACAGAACCTACACGTTATCTGACTCTGTCATTCTCAAATTCGATCTAGATTGACAACAGAAAATGAAATTCATTATTTCGCACACGCGCAATCGATGGGGTATCTGAAGTACATTTCGCCAACAAAATACACAAGAAAGTGTGGGTCAATCGATAGATCATTTTTGAGATTCAAACGAAAAATCAAACTTCCACACTTTACTCCGACTACTATGTACTGCTGCTGTTATGTTTATCTCTTAACAAACAACTTTTTTTTGGCTAATTAATAGTATTATACACCTGTTTGAGCTACAAAAAGAAATGTATGCACTCGGTGTGTGCATCGCTATGATCGTCATAAACATGTATGCATATTTTCATTAATGATTCATGTTATCCACGAATTTTCCTGGAGTGAAGGTGCTAACTCGGAAATCAAAAGAAAAAGCAATTATAAGAAAAAGAATCACATATATATAAAAAGCGTCCAACGAGAAAACTAAATATAAATTCACGGTGTCACCCGACACACATTTGTGCAAGATATACGGGCCGTCAACTTTGTAAAATCGTCTTGTGTAGCAGATACCCCCCGCCCATCCACAAAAATAGACATTCGCGAAAAATGATAAATTATTATTTTGCAAACGTGTCGTGTGCGTTGTGCTGCATGCTATATATCCACGAGAGAATCAAACAGCCCGCAAGTCCCTTTTAAATAAATAAATACGTATCTCGTCGTCGCAGACGATACAGTATATATGTATATTAATGTCTAACTCATCACTCACATTGCAAACTTGTCTCTTGATTTACACAGTGTTTCGTCACACGCTTTCTCTCTCTCTCTCTCTCTCTTACTCTCTCAACACACATGCGCGCGCGATATCTATATAGAGTTGCATTAAAGGGAAGCTACGGAAAAGGAGAGAGAGGATGGGAGACGTCAACGTCATAAACGTCACAGTCGTGACTCGCTACACGTTACTACTACTACTACACACTTACACACACATAGATGTGTATATATATATATATATATATACGATTGTCATAACAGGTGTATGTTTGTGGATTCATCCGACTTGTACCCTCAGTTAGCATAACACGCGCTACGATATCTCAACTAAAGTATGAAACCTTCGCGAATGAGGTTGACTTTAGAATATTCCGACGACGTTGCATTTGCTATATATGTTATCGTATATTTTTACGTGTGTAATTCGTTTCTTATTTATGTATTTTCACATAAACTAATTAATAAAACGAAAGAAAATACAATTATTCCTTCTCTCTTTCCCTCTCCGGAAAATATAGATTAGCAACAAAATTTTACCGAAACTACGTATAAACGTTCAAAGCGCGGGAATGACGCCACATATCAAGAGTCATTTCGGTATTCGGAGTCTGTGTCGACATAGTGCATGTCATTTTAATGGATAACTAAAAATGCTATGTCGTTCGCTACAATAACGATTTCGACGCGAGAGATTTCTTTTGTTTTACGCTCTGTAAAGTATAAAGCCTATAGAAATCAGGTCAGTATTAGTTTGCGGTTCCGATATTCGCGATAATACGGTACGAAATAAATTCAAAAAATTACAAGCATCAAGAGGTATGGATCTGTATCAATGTTTCGGTCGCTCGCGCCGTATTTCCGAAAGCGCAAAAACTTTCCAAAGCAAACAACACGCGACGACCGAAATTTCATTTTCGGAAATTCAGAATCTTTATAAATAGGGTTCGAGAGGGCAATACGAGGTCAGAAAAGAGAACCAAGCTATTCATAGGTGGCTACGTTTTGGGAGTCGCCATTTGTTCGTACACTTTGAAAATCTTGCACAGCGAAAGCTTTTTCTTCGTAATAGCGAGGATCTCTAGTACATTGCGAAGGCGGCGTGATTTATCGTGCAACGCTTGTCAAAGTCCCAAAGTCATCGGCGCGAAGTTCGAGTTCTCAAAGCCAAAGTCGAGATTCGCCACGCTGCAAATATACTCGACGAGCGCGATGCGCCTCTAACTCTCATCACATTCGCTCCCGCTTGCTCATCGCATTTTGTTTTTTGAGCTCCTCTCCGACGAGCTGCCGTACTTGATGCATTTCAATTTTACTCGAGTTCTCCCTTTAATGCCACTCCACCGTAGGTTTGTCATCAATGAGTTAGATGTTTTGAGGCTTCTCCTTTGCGCCGGACTTTGCGTTCAACGTATTCGTTCGAGGAAAACCTTCATTCCGCCAGTCGAGAGAAATTTAATTGCTATCACAATCGGCTCGTGAGCAAAGTTCATCAAAATCTGATTACGTACTTGAAAGTCTCGAAGCTATGGCAACCGGATAATTTTACTTGCGCGTAATTTCTTCATTCGATGAACGTAGCTTAGAATTTGAAACCATGTGCAATTTTAAAATATTGCTCGGCGCGAATCGTCAAAAAAAAAAACGGCATGCACAGAAAATGGGTTTGCGATAAATTTTAAACAATCCGTTATTTGTTATTTGTCGGCCTACGCCCGTCAAAACGTCAATAAATCGCGCGTGTTTATACACTTTACTCGCGCAGAGACTTTCATTTGCAGCCATCAGAATTTGACATTTTATTACGCATTCCGTTCATTGCAAGAGATATCCATGCGGAAATGCTAACGCTTATACACCCACTCGCACCAAAAATATAAGCGAAGCATATTTAAAAAACAGATTGATCACTGCAACGGACCTCTGAATTAACAGCGCAATGCTCGTCGGTAACAATGACGCAATGAGGAGAGCGAGGAAAAAGAACGGAAATCCCCAGCAAAGAACGATTAATAACATCGGCAACAGCAACGGCTCGCGCAGAAAAATATATAAATCTAAAAATTCCAAGAGGAGAATTGATGTATGTATACATGCACAAGCGAGTCGTCAGATGCGCGATGGCGTCGGCTGGATGAGTAGTGGGGCAGTAGGAATGTCGGGCGTCGGTGTTGCGTTACGCTATCCTAATTTAGACGCATGGCATATCGCGACGCCTCCTACCTCCTACCAAAAGCCCGCGGATAAATTTCAAAAAGCGCCCGCGTTGGCGCGTGACGCGCCGAAGGTGCCAAGGCTATATAGCTTGTGCGGTTTTATCGGGGAGGCCGCGCAACGTGGTATGGAGTTTGTGTGCTTGACGTGACGTCGCCACGGCATTGTTGAATGCGCCACCGAGCTCGCACAACTAAACATACCTCCTCCTCCTCCTCCGCGAGCTTGAATCGACAGTATGCGCTCTCCCTCCCTTCTCCACCTGCTAAATTTAACCGTTTGTTTATGACTTTGAGACACGACGCTGTTTTAGCGATAAATTATACAACGATAACCCGCGAGAGCTTTTTCTTTTTTATGAACGCCGGATAGATCGCTGTTCGACCGGTATATCGACGCTTTCGAATCTCTTCGCCACGAAACGTATATTCGACAATGTCAACGGAATAACGCGGAAACCTTTCTCCCCTGTTTTTTGGTTTCTTCGCTGCCCGAGAAAAATGCTATTAGATTTTCAACAAGACAAAAAAGTATCGGACAAAAAACATAATATCCATCTCCCCGGAGGCGTGCAGACGCGTGTCACAGCTTCAGCTCTTGGAATATTTTTTCGATTCTAAAAGCATATCGGATGACCGCACGGAACCAAATTTAAAATAAAATAAAAACAGCGAGAGACATACCTCGTTATTTGTGAAAGGGAAAACCTGGTAAAGCCAATGTATACATTTGCGAATTCGGACTTTCTTGTATTATGAGGAGTGGGGCTGGGGAGACGTCATCCAAAAAAGCGTTACCAGCTGCGTCAAAGAAAAGAAGATAATACGCGACAATTGAAAAAAGCCAGCAAGAGTGAGAGACGTTGAAATTGAACGGCAAACGCGACTCTCTCTTCAGCCAGTGTATATACGTGCTACGTTCGAGCAAGAGAGGGAAAAAAGTAGGCTATACGCGCGCATGTTTGTTGCAGCGTATTGTTCGGCGTAGCTACGGAAAAAGCTTTCGATGGCCTGGGAATACATTTGAAATTCAGCAAGCCCTTTTTTCGGGTAGACGTGGAATAGAAAAAGAAAGGAAAAAATATCGAGGTTGCGACTTGTTTTACTCGCGGAAATAAAAATGTTGAACTTTGAGAAGTGAAACCACGATTAATTACTTGACAAAATGTTTGTGGTTGAAAAAGTTTAGAATAATAAACGTATTGTTGAAAAAGAACTTATGACAAGAAAAAAAATTATATATCCTATTTACTGAAAAGTCATGATGCACGTTGACA